GACACCCTCTTCTTGCCTCCTTGGACACCTGCACTGCGCTCATGTGCATATAGGCACACATAGATACACACACATATATACAGACAAATAAATAAATAATAGAATAAATATTTTAAAATAAAGAGAATTCTATACATATCAGTACTAAAAGAAATTCCAGGAGCATAAGGTTATTTCTAGAATTTGGGGGCTAGGAGTAACTTGTTATACAATACTTAGTTTTCTCTGTGCAATTTTTTGTTTGTTTTGTTTGTTTGTTTGTTTGTTTTGACACAGGGTCTCAGTTTTTAACCCTGGCTGGCATGGAACTCTATGTAGACCAGGATGGCCTCAAACTCATAGAAATCTGCTTCTGCCCCTATCCCACACCCAAGTATTGGGATTAAAGGTGTTATGCCATCATGCCTAGTCTTATAAATTTATTTATTTATTTTTTTAGTCTTTTTGAGACAGGGTCTCCCTGTAGCTCCAGCTGGCCTGGATCTCACTATGTAGACCAGGCTGGCCCTGAACTCACAGAGATCCACCTGCCTCTCCCTCTGGAGTACTGGGACTAAAGGCGTGCCCCACCACACCCAGCATAATTTTAATTTTTAAGAAAGAATGTTTTTATTTTTTATTTTTTTGTCTTTTTGAAATAGGGTCTCCCTGTAGCCCTAGTTGTACTGGAACTCACTCTGTAGACCAGGCTGGCCTCGAACTCAAAAAGATCCACCTGCCTCTGCCTCCTAAGTGGTGGGATTAAAGGTGTGCACCACCACACCCCGCTTATTTTTTATCCATATGAGTGTTTTGCCTGAATGTAAATGCTTATCTTGTGCAGTGCCTGTGGAGGTCAGGAGAGGGTGTCAGTTCCCCTGGAACTGGAGTTACAGATGGTTGTTAGCTGCCATGTAGGTGCTGGGAACCCAGGTCCTCTGAGCAGCCAGTGAGCCATCTCTCCAGCTACAATAATTTTAATTGGATTCCTCCAGGGGGGTTTACTCTGATGTCCTACATCAGTAGCTTGCTTTGATACTAGTTTCTATTTTACTTTTTCTCTTTATTCAGTATACTTTTCACTGATGAATTGCATCTGATCTCCTGGGGGTTAAGGGAGAAGTAGATAGAAAAAGATGTTAGAAAGTGAAATAATCTAGGAAGTAATTTTAGACTTTGCCTCCTACTTTGTTTAGGTAGTTTGTCATCTTCTTTTTCTCTAAAAAAAGAGCAGTGATCAATAAATAAACCATTAAAGTTCTCAGTTTTTCTCTTTATATTCATATTCATCTTAAGACTGTTAAAACAAACTTTTTGGTGTCCGTATTTGAGGTCTAAGTAGTTTGGAAGGATGGGGAAACAGAATTGTTCAGATTCCAGAAAATTGAGATGAGAAAGTAAGACAAGAAAGTTAAGGTTAAATATAGCAACTATTGCATGTTCAAATTCAAAAGCTTAAAAGTTATACGAACAATTTTGAAGTGCTCAGGATCATCCTATTCAGTTTGCTTTCACTAAAGTCCAGTAGAAACAACAGTGTTTCCAGGTGTAAGGTGAAATTCACTTCTGGGAGGCCTGCAAGTACTTGGCTCCCAAGCCCTCTGTGAGGTGGACTGTGACCTTCTGCCCCCAACGCTGTCCTTAAGACTAACCACAACCACAAAACTGACACAATGTATTCAGGTTTTCATACAGAGTTTATGATGTCCGAGAGGGTTACTTACAAAGGCATGTACCTGTGGGCTTTTTTCCCTACATCTCAGCTGAGCTTTTCAGATCAGTGGCTGCTAGAGCATCAGCCAAGATTGTGAACCTGGCATTGCCTCCCCAGCTTCCTCCGTGTCTGTCCTTAAACCATCTCCCCCATGCAACTGAAGCTGACCAATTGGATAGGAAGGGCGACTGTCTCCTTCTCTTTCTACGGAGTCTCTTAGGGTTCAGACACCCAGCTGTTGCTAGTTCTTTTGGAGGACACACCTGTCCAACACTAGGTTAGTTGATAAAAGATAAGACCACAGTTCCCAAAGAATATTCTTCAAAGGTAACCAGAATCTGGAGTTCATGATGACTGTTGCCACAAACACCAATGAGCAGAGACAGAGATTGAATCTTTAAAATGCATTTTATTTACTGAACTAGAAATCTGAGATCACTGATGAATGTCTTAGAGATCTGGCTTCCATGCTAGAAATGTCTTTGTGTGTCTCAAGATAGCAAACTTCATAGGGAATGGGAGCAGTGACTGTCAGTCATTCCAAACCATATCCTGTCCCTGTGACCTCTAGATCCATGTTGCGCTTCTCTCCTCGTTATCTCCTATGCGTTGCCCTCATTATCATCTTTCTCCCTCTCTGAAGCTGGGTTTGCATACTTCTGAGGCTGCTGAGGCACCACCTAGACTGGGGTTACTCGGAATAAACCATTAATGTGTATCCATGATTTGTCGTTTACAGTGTGAATGTGCAGATCCATTTTTGCATTATAAAGTACAAATGTGCCCTTATAACATCAAATATAAAAGTACCCATACCTGTCCCTCTTGTCCCCTTATCAAAAACAGTAGTCTGATGTGTTAAGTACCAAAAACAAGAAGCACTAGTAGAACTTATTCGAGAAGAGGATATAGTCACATAAATTTGGATTCTAATCTGATCTCTAATTTGTACCAGGTGATTCTGGATAAATGAGATATCTAACTTGTGTGCTTGTTTTCTAATGTCTAAATCAAATTAATAATAGTATCTACCTGTTAAATGTTTAATATATTAGATGATAGATTACATAGCTAATGCTTGAGTTCAGTCCTAATGTATACACAATAAACTTTTCATGAATATTAGCAAAAATTTGTTACATTTTGTTTGTTTTGTTTGTATATATATGTAGATGGATGTATGTGTACCACAGTGCATGTATGAGGGTCAGAGGACAACTTGTAGGTAGCATTTCTCTGCTTCCACCATGTAGATCCTGGGGATCAAACTCAGGTCGTCAGGCCCAGCAAGCAAGCCCCTTTACCTGCTGAGCGATCTCATAGACTTACATGATAGCTTTTAAAACAAGAAAAAACTTCTCAATTAGGAAAACACTGCATACTACATCCTCCCCTTAGACAGTCACAGTGTACCAAGGCAGCCCAAGGCTTTTAAAGGTTTTATAGAATAGATGTTAGATTTAGTTGAGTTCACATTTTTTTCTTAACTATGTATGTATGTATGCCTATATTCATTTGTCTTAGTTGCTGTCTGTTACTGTGTTCCCAACAGAAGCAGCTCTAGGGAGAAAAGGTATATTTTGGCTCACAGTTCCAGAGAGATGCAGTTTGTCATGGTGGGGAAGACATGGGACAGGCAGGGAAGGCACGGTAGCAGGAGCAGGAGGCAGGCTGGTCATGCTGCACCCACACTCAGGAAACAGAATGGGTGAACAGGAAGTGGGGCCAGGCTGTTCTCAAGCAAGGTTCCACCTCCTAAAGGTTCTCCATCCTTCCCAAACAGCACCATCAACTGGGAATCACATGTTCAAACATGTGATCCTACTGGAGATGTTTCTCATTCAAACCATAACAGCATTTATCATCAATTAAAATCTTACAAAAGAGTATTTTATGGGATGATTATAGTTTAAGAAACTTTATAATGTCATTTGTTCTGTTGCAAGTAAATCAAACCACAACAAGCATTAACTGTTTCATAAATCATGGATGCTGTGATCATCAAGAAACTAATAAATGAATGATGTATTTTATATATTTTTCTAAAAATAGGACCTTGGGAGATGGCTTAGCAGCTATGACCAGAATTTAGATACCCAGAACCCGTATAAATGTCAGCATGACAGCTTGCCTGTAATTCCAACCTTCCCTGTAAATTTAGCTTTGGAAGACAGAGAGGGAATCCCTGCATAAGCTGGTTAAGGAGCTCATCCATGAGCTCTGAGAGTGATTGAGAGACTCTACTTCAAAGAATAATAACCAATTGAGGAAGATTCTCAATATCAACTTCAGCCTCCACAGGCATAAGCACACATGTATACTTACATACATACACACACAAACACACACATACACCCCACAACACATGAAAAGGAAAAATAAATACAATAATGAATATAATGCTCTATTGTAGAGAATTGTATTTAAGAAGAAATTATGTGATGAGCAAAGTATTACATTATGTACATTAAATAGGTAAGAAGGATAATTGTAGTAGTGGTGATTTTGCCCAGGAAAAGGCTGTAGAAGAAGGAGATGTCTATATAGAGTTTAGAAATAGAAATTTATCAAGCAAAATGAGTGGGGACTAGAACTGAGCATGTTAAGCAGGGTGCTGAGCATGTGTGCAATGCCAGAGCAGTAGCAGGATCCACTTTGAAACTGCTAAAGACTAGGAGGTAGATGGGATCTGATAGGTAGTGAGCTGGGACTTTGCTCTGCAGGCAGTAGAAAGTCATTGAATGATTTTAAGTCAGGGAGTGGCCTAGTCTGATTTGGTCTTAAAAGACCACCCAGGCTTTTGTGAAAGGGGTTTATAATTTTTGTTGACTAGTCTTATGAGATAATTTAGTTTTTATGTTGCCAGCCTTGGATCACCAAGGTTTTCTTTTTCTGTCTAAGTAGTACCATTTTCTGAAGAGTATGAAGATTAATTGTGATACCAGACCCTGTTTATTAGAGGGTAAACTATATGACTATATATGACTATTGGTTAATAGTTACCTGCTGATCTAAGATTCTGACTAGATCACCAACTATAAAATAGATTTTGATCGAAGGTGAACATTCAGAATCTAGTCCTTTTGTAATTAGTTATTACCGTGATGTGAACTTTCATAAATTGGACAAATCTATTTTAACTTTGTTTCAGAATGCTGTTATACAAGTTTTTGCTTTTGAAAGTGTTTATTTCTTTAAAGTAAGATGAATAAAATGTGATAAAATTGCTCTGATGCATACTATGATACTATTTCAAAAGTAACTTTAAAAAGTTATCATGTTAATGAAATCATTTTTTTCCTTTTAGGACATGTGAACTTATATATTTAAGACAACCCAGCAGTGTGTAAGTAGTTCAAAGTGTGTTACTTTTCATTAAAAAAGAAACTGTTTTCTGGACTAATCTAAAAAATACTGATAACATTAGGGTTAGTTTGGGTGATGAAGCATGCCACTTTATAAATTAAGGTAATGGAGTCCTATATAAATTTTATATCTTAGAAAAATGCATGCCTAATATTACAAAGAAGAATTAACAAGGTAGAAATCAGTGCAGTATATCACAATTCTGAGAAATGCAGTTCATTGATTAAATATTTACTGAGGTTCTATCACAGGGATTTTATTAATAAGGATCAGCATAAATTATAATTTTATGTAAGAATAAATATGAAGATCTAAATTTAAAACTCTAAATTACCTTTCAAAGTGTGTGGTGCGTGATGTAGCAGTATGTCCAAGGAGAGCTCCAGTTTCTCTCTGGAAACTGCATGAGTGTCCTTGAGTTACTCTGCTCCATTGAGCAGTGATAGTGAAGATGCTTGATGTAAAGGGAAACTGTGCATTTATTAATGGATGTGAATCTATTAATTACAATGACCGAATATGTAAAAATTATCAAGGCAAAGTGTTGACAGTTGGAGTCACCCAAACATTGTTTTTTGCTTCCATCATTAATTTTAATTAGAAAATGAAGAGCAAACAAGCATTCATGTAACTGGAAACAAGTTAAATTATAGTGTACCCTGGGTTTTATATATTTTAAAATTAAAATAAATATCTTGGTAGATAAATGAATTGAAAAATTAAGTTCAGGTATAAATTATACATTCAAGTGGATTGCATTCTATTTTGTATTTAATTCAAGCTTATAACTTAATTTAAAACCGCTCCAAAGGCAAAGTCAGAAAAATTTTCAATGCCTAATTTTTTTAATTGCTTTGTATTTGTTTATTAGGATATCTACTGAAATAAATTGTATGTTGGTGCTAAAAATTTCTTGGATCACTTTTTTACTAGCAAAAGGTAAATTAACATGTTATTACATGCTAATGTTTCAGATGGTATGAATAAATTGTTCTTTTTTCACTAGTGTGAAAATTTTTATTCAATTAATATTCCCTCTCATCCCATTCTCTGTATGACTTATTAACTATTAACTGTCTTTTGTAGTTCTGGCACCAGAACTATCTTTGGCAATGTTTCATTTTGTATCTTTTCCTCCCTTTCTGCTTCTCCCCACCCTCCCTCCCTCCCTCTTTTCCTTCCTTCCTTCCTTCCTTTCTTTTTTGTGGCACTGAGGATGTAACTCAAGGCCTTATGAATTAAAAAATTTAAAAATTAATTGAGTTCAAATTTTACAGAAGAAATAAGAAATAGAAATATGTGTTTTGTCACTTTAAGTGGACTTTCTTAAAATATTTACCTAGTTAGAATCTTCTCGTTAATTTATTAACAAAGGAAAAAAATTACTGGTTACGTGATAATACCTATACCAAAGTTGAATAATTCAGGGTGAATGCTCATCTTTTTCCTCTTCTGATTTGGAAGAGTAGAGATTGCTGAGAAGGGTAAAATGGAAGTAAATAGCAACGAATGGTTGATAGAGACTCTGTGCTGATTGAAAACCATTTGAATCCCATCACAATCCTGTAACAGAAAAGAATTCTACAGCAGTGGACAGTATTAATATTCTTCCTTTCCCTACTTTCTGAGTAGAATATTTTGTTATCATTTCATTATCAAAGACTATAACATTTACATTCTGTCTATAATTATAGTATTCTGTTTTATATTTAAATGCAGTCTAATAATAACTCCTCTATTATTAAGAGCCTCTCTCTTTTCAAGTTCTTCATTTTGATACATTTTTTAGCTAGCTGGATTGTATTATGAAGGAATTTATAAAGATATACTCTTTTTGGTGTCAGAAGAAATAAGCCTTTTGGTGCCATGTTTCTGTGTTAGCTTTGTGGATGGCTTATGTCCACAGCCTTTATACTTAAAGGCCAACTTGACTCTGTATCTTAATCTTGTTGTGTTGTCCCTTTGGACAGTACTATCAGATAATGAATGTTGCTTAATTTCCTCCATCATTTACTTGCTGAACACTTGAAGAATTATTTTTTTAAAATTTGTCATATAATATCTTTATCAGGGTATCTCTTGATTATTCTGCATCTGCATTAAGTTAGTTTTCCTTGGAACACTGTGTTTCTTTTAAGTTTTTTATTTTATGTATTTTATGTGTGTGAGTATTTTGCTTGCATGTAGGTAGGTGCACCCCTGTCGTGCAGTTCCTGCGGAGGTCAGAAGAGGGTGTTGGATTCCCTGGAACTCAAGTTACAGTTGTCAGTTGTCATGTGAGTGCTGGGAATCGAACCCAGGTCCTCTGCAAGAGCAGTCAGTGCCCTCAACCACTGAGCCATCTCTCTAGCCCCTAAAAATTTTAATTAATTAATTTCTTAACCACTCAGCCATCTCTCCAGCCCCTCCACCTTATTATGTTTTTTATTGTTTGGTCTTTTCGAAACAGGGTCTCCCTGTAGCTCCAGCTGCCTGGAACTCACTCTGTAGATCAGGCTGACCTGGAACTCACAGAGGATCCGCCTGTCTCTGCCTCCCGAGTGCTGGGATTAAAGGCATGCACCACCATGCCCGGCTTTATTTTTTAATTTTTGCTTTTTTATGTGTACGAGTGTTTTGCCTGCATGTATGTAAGTATACCACCTGTGTCATGCTATGCCTGTAGAGGGCAGAAGAGGATGTTGGATCCCCTGGAACTGGAATTACAGAGCGTTGTTAGCCAACATGTGGGTAAACCTAAGGCTTCATGCATGTTAGACAAGTGCTCTGCCACTGAGTTACAGGCTCATCTTAATTTTTTTTCTTACATGTAGACTATTTTTTTTAAAAAAATATTTTATGTGTGTGCGTGTATTGCCTGCTTGTAGGTAAGTGCACCAGTGTTGTGCAATGCCCACAGAGGTCAGAAGAGGCTGTCGGATCCCTGGAACTGGAGTTATGGACAGTTGTTAGCTGCCATATGGGTGCTGGGATTCGAACCCAGGTCTTCTGCAAGAACAGCCAGTGTTCTTAACTGCTGGGCCATCTCTCCAGCCCCACATATAGACTATTTTTGTCTTAAATCGTTTGTCTGCTTTAAAACAAACTAATTTTTAACATGGTGTTTTTTTGTTTTTTTTTTGAAGCTTGTCTAATTCCTTGCTTTTATATAATTTGAGTTTAGTGAGTTCCTTTGTTTGTTCATTTGTTTTGAGGCAAGTTCTTTTTCTTAAATTTTATTTTTTAAAAAATTTTATGTGTATGCGTGTATTACCCGCATGTAGGTAAGTACACCCGTGTTGTGCAATGCCTGTGAAGGTCAAAAGAGGCTGTCAGATCCCCTGGGACTGGAGCTATGGACAGTTGTTAGCTGCCATGTGGGTGCTGGGATTCAAACCCAGGTCTTCTACAAGAACAACCAGCGTTCTTAACCGCTGAGCCATCTCTCCAGCCCTTTGGGGCAAGTTTTTGCTATGTAACCCAGGTTAGTTTTGAACTTGTGGTCTTCCTGCTCCTACCTCCCACACATTATAACCACCATGCTTGGTGAGTACATCATAATGTAGGAACTCAGGGCATTTCTGGGGGGATTCTCTTCCATATTAGGTTCTCTTATTTTTTTCTTGACTATTTTTAACTATATTTTTCTTTTATGTAATATATTTGCATAATTACTGTGCTTTTGCCCCTCATCTCTCTGGGACTTTATGTGGCTAGTGGGACTTGATGTTGTTTTCTCTAGTTTGTGTTCCCCAGGGAATTATAGTGTGCTGCAAACAGGTGTTGCAGTCAGAAGGTAAGGAGAAAATAGAGCATTCATCTGGTGGGCTCTTGGTGTTTCTGAGTTTCATTCGATTAACACTGTTCTTCCCTTTGCCCAGCCATCACAGTATACTACCATCTCTGTGTTTATCAACTAGTTGCTGTGGTTACTTTCATTTTAAGCCTCTGTAGCAATTTCTACTCCAAGGCAGAAGAAAAAGCTGAACATTCCCCCTGAATTATTCCCAGATTTGGTATTGCTACTACTAGCTGCTTAGCCAGTGTGTATTTTCCTTTCAAGTATTAAACATTGGAGCAGACAGACTCCTTTATCTGATTTCACTCTACTGTTTATACTTAGAAGTGTTTGATATTATTCTTCTGTATCATATTTCTTTTTAAAAAATTATTAACTTTTAAAGTTAGTATTCAAAATAATGGATTTCATGATGACATTTTCATACATATGTATTGCTATACTTTGTTATTTACTCCTTTATAGTTCTTCCCCCTCCCCCCCCCATTTCCCCTTTTCCCTGTGATATTTCTTAAAAACTTGTTTTGTTTTATTTTGTTTTTGAGATAGGGTCTCCCTGTAGCCCCGGCTTGCCTGGAACTCACTTTGTAGACCAGGCTGGCCTTGAACTCAGAGATCCACCTGCTTCTGCCTACTGAGTGTTGGAATTAAAGGCGTGTGCCACCACGTGAAGCAATAACTTCTGAGTACATTGCAAACATAATTTTGTACTATGCCTATGGATCTAGAAAATTTAACCTGGTGCAGGGCTACCAGTTTTCTGACATTTTCTGCAGTTCCAATATTTGTTGGGATTATCAGTAGTTTAGAAGATAGGCAGAAGATAGAAAGTCAATTAAACTTCTCATTTAAAAATAATAAAACTGTAGCAAATACACATTTGATACATTTGCTTGCAATTTACATCATATACAGGTCTAGTTGTTTTCTACAAGCCTATAGTTGTGTATTTATATTTTATATTAAAAGGCAGGATTTTGTTAAATAGAGATGACCTTATAATTATTTTATAAGTTTTAAAAATATATTTATTATTTTTATTTTATGTGTACGAGTGTATTGCTTGCATGTATGTGAGTGCACGTGTTTTGTGCAATGCCATGGAAGTCAGACGAGGGTGTTGGATTCCCTTGGAATTGGACTTAAGGACAGTTCGTAGCTGCCATGTGGGTGCTGGGAATCAAACCCGGGCCCCCTGCAAGAGCAGTGCTCTTAACTACTGAGCCGTCTCTCCAGCCCTAGTTTGTTATTTCTTAATGGTTTGGGTTATTCAAATATTTTGTAGAGGGTTAAAATTGAACATATATGAAATTTCATACATATTTAAAATTAAAGATTAGCTCAACATGGTTTTTGGAAGTAATGAGTTCTGTAACTCACACCAAAATAGGAAATCAATTTTACAATCTGGAATACAAAATATTTTTGGCTATAAGAATTAATTATGGGCCAAGTGTGGTGATGCACACCTTTAATCCCAGCACTAAGGAGGCAGAAGCAGGTGGATAACTTGTGAATTTAAGACCAGTCAGGCCTAGGGCTCTAATTCTCATTTTAAAGTTCTTTTGCCAAAAAAAGAAAAATCTTTATCATATCTCTAGTGATTAGCAAATAAATATATGGATGCACTGCTACCCACATTTTCCTCTGACTTAAAAGTACCAATCTCTGACTCTTTAAAATATGAATCTTGGGAGCTGGGTGTGGTGGCACACACCTTTAATCCCCATACTTGGGAGGCAGATGCAGGCGAATCTCTGTGAGTTCCAGGACAGCCTGGCCTACATAGTGAGTTCCAGGACAGCTGGGGCTACAGGGAGACCCTGTCTAAAAAAAAAAAAAAAAAAAAAAAGATTCTTGGGAGCTTGGCTCAGTGGTTAAGAGCTTGTACTGCTTTTGCATAGGACCTGAGTTCAGTTCCCAGTACCCATAGTAGGTGGCTCTCAACTACTTGTAACTCCAACCCTAAGGGATGGGATGTCCTCTTCTGGCCTACAGGTGCCTGCCTGCTTTCACATGCACATGTCCCGACATAGACATAATTTAAAATAAAATAAAATCTTAAAAAAATATGAATCTTGGGGCTGGCAAGATGACTCTGTGGGTAAAGATGCCTGCCATCAAGCCTGGCAACATGAATTCGATCACTGGGGCTTACATAGTTGAAGGAGAGAACTGACTCCTGCAAGTTGTCCTCTGACTTATACATGTACACTGTGGCAGACACAAATGTGTGCTTGCATACATGTACACATGCAAGTAAATATAATAGAAAAATTTTAAATGTGACTTTTTTTTTTAGGAGAAGTATTACAAATGGAAGATGATCTGGTGATTTCATTTCAGTTAATGTTGTGTGTACTTGACTATTTTATCAAGTTCTCACCTCCTGCACTGCTCAGAGAACCATACAGTAAGTACTTTAAGCAATGTAATGCACCTTCTCTTTTACCTTTAGTTATTTATTGAATGTGTTGTAGGTCTAGTATGACCTTAAAACTGAATTGAGAAGATGACAGAAAATTAGATAGGGACTCTGCTTTTTGTTGGTCAGCTTTCCTTTACTGTAACAAATACCTGAGGTGTTTAGCTTATAGAGAGATTTATTTTAACATAATTTTGGAGGTTCTAGTCCACAGTCATTTGGCCCCTTTGCTTTGGGCCTATGACAAGGGATCATATCACAGTAGAAGCCCAGAGTAGAGTAAAATTATTCACTTTGTTTTAGGGGAGTGAAATAGAATTAAGGAAATGGTTGGAGTCCCATTATCCTCCAAGGAATACGCCCCTAGTAACCCTAAGAACTCTTAAGACTCCATCTCCTAACATTTTTACCACCTCCTAATAACTTCATACTGGGAACTAAGACTTTATTTGACACATGGACCTAGACATTTCTAGATTCAAACTATTCCAGACTTCAAGTAGTATAAATTATAGAAGAAAAGATAAAACATGTTGAGCCAATAATTAAGAATGTAGTAGGTAATGGTCTGGATCAAAATAAAGCAAGTGTTATGGGAATTCTAGAGACGGGAAAGTTTTTACAAGGCCAGTGAGATGACTCAGCAATGAAAGTGCTTGCTGTGCATGCTTAACAACCTGAGTTCAGTCCCTGGAACATATGGTGGAAGGAGAAAAATGGACACCTGAAAGGTGTGCCTCCAATCTCTACACATATTCCCTGGCACCTAGGTGCCCAGGAATCCATGCATGTACATGCAAATAATAATCATAATAATGAAATACAAAATTAAAATAAAAACAAAAGTAAAGTTTTTTTTTCAGCTGTGGAAGGCCAAATAATACCATATAAAAAGATTAATATTTGAAGTGAGTGTTGAAGAGTATGTAAGGATAGGGAAAGGTATTTCTTTGAAGAAGTTGTAGGATATGTCCAGTAAAGAAGAGCAAGAAGTAAGGAAGATATGAATGAAGTTGCAAAGGAAAGGGTGGCCCATTCTACAGTGACAACTTAAAGTTTTTTTAAAAAAATTTTTCATTTATTATTTCTGTTTTATGTGTATGAGTATATTGCCTACAAGTATAGAGGTGTATCTGTGTCATGCAATGCCCATGTAGGTAAGAAGAGGGCATTATATCCCCAGAATTGGAGTTACAGACTGTTGTTAGCTGCCATATTATAGGTGCTGGGAATCCAACCTGGGTCCTCTGCAACACAGCCAGTGCTCTTAACTGCTGAGCCATCTCTCCAGTTTCTACAACTTAAAATTTTAACTAGTAATGGATGTTGTAATAGCTATGTAACTGAATTTTCATGTATATGAATCCTAATTGTCACTGTTTCAACGAGTGGTGAGATGGGAAGTGTATTCAAGTAAAAATAACTATTGTTAATATAGTTAAATAACATTAAGCAAAGATAAGTCGGTATTGCTTTTTAGACTAGAAATGATTCCTTTCATGGCTTCAAGAGCAGTCATTTGAAATAATTTTTTGTACTGTAGAAAACATAAACGTAATTAAGGATGGACAGATTTCTTGTTTCTGAAATGATGAAAGTGCTAATAAAAGTACTAAAAAAATAGAAAACAGATCATAACACAATGTCTAAAAGCATTGTTGAAGAGACTGAAACATTGAAGTTTAATTATAATGGAAAAATGAAGTCAGGAGTAGAATTTTAAGAATATGTTAAACAGTTGGGTGGAGGAAGCAGAAAACTTTAGTTCCTGTAAACTTCAAAGCAGGAAACATTAAAAAAATATAGAAAGTAGTAAATATATTTCTAAAATTTCTTAATCTTTTAAAGTTTTCTTCCCTTCATCTGCCTTTTTCTCACTTATTTTTATCAGTGTTGTAACTTTAAAAGTTTGTATACTAGGTTACTTTATTTAGCTTGAAATCTTTGTTCTTTTAGATAATTCAGATCTACACTTAATTCTTTAAATGCTTTGAAAAGAGAGACCAGGATGAGATACTGAATTTTTTGATTTATTTATTTTTATTGTATGTGTATGAGTGTTATGTCTGCATGTATGTAAGTGCACCCCTATCATGCAGTGCCCACGGAGGACAATGGAGGGCATTGGATCCCATGGAACTGGAGTTACAGATGGTTGGTTGTTAGTTGCCATGTGGGTGCTTAGATTCGAACCCAGGTCTTCTATAAGAGCAGACAGTGCTCTTAACCAGCCCCCAGGATGAGATAGTGAATTGACTGAGTGTAGTAAATCTTCCATCAGCTTTTCTGATGGAGAATTTCAGATGAGGCAGATGTAGTTATTCTCCATGTGCTTATCACCCAGCTTCAGAAGATAACTTATAGTCTCTAGCCTCATCTTCCATCAGTTCCCTAACTGTATTATTTTGAAGCACATCTTTGCATATGGCTTTATCCTGGTATGATTCATTCTATATCTGTAAAAGAAGGAGTAAAAAAAAAAAAAACCTGTAACAACAGTACCATGCTACCAGATAGCTCGTAACTCTTAAAAAAAACTTTCTACAGGGTGATTGAATCAGAATCTAAGTCAAATCTCTACTTTGTTGATATACTTCTCAAACTTTGTTCTCTAGGCTGTGAATAAAATGATAGAGCACAAGTCCCAAGGTTTAACTCATAGCACAAAAGCAAACTCTTCTATCTCTCTCTCTTTTCTTCATACTTATTTATTAAAAAGAGAAACAGGATGTGTGCTTAGCATGAACAAGACCCTAGGATCCATCCCAGTACCAAAATAGATAATCAGGTTGGTGTCCTATTTAGTTTACCACAATTTAATTTTGATTATTGTACCAATGGTATAGTTAAGCATGTTCTTCTGACTTCTCACTTTCTTGTAAGTTGATCTTTGAGTCTAAGAACAGTAAGTACTATTTGTGTGTGTGCATGGTGTGGTGACGTGAGTGTGTGTGTGTGTGTGTGTGTGTGTGTGTGTATGTGTGTGCGCACGTGCATGTGTGCTATAGTGGAGGTCAGAGGACAGCTTTGTGGAGTAGGTGTTTTCTCTGTGCCTGGACATGGGTTCCAGAGATCAAACTCAAATCATCAGGCTTGTGTGGTAAGGACTTTTACTTACTGACCCAGCTCTCCAGCTCCCTATACTTTTTTTTTGGTATTTTTGAGGGGATTTTTTGGTATTGAGTTCCAGCTGGCCTGGAACTCACTTTGTAGACCAGGCTGGTCTCGAACTCACAGAGATCCTCCTGCCTCTGCCTCCTGAGTGGTGGGATTAAAGGCGTGCACCACCATGCTTGGCCTCCTATACTATCTTTTAAATGAATTATAATTGGCTAAAACTTTAAAAAAAATTATTTTCTATTTTTATTTTATGTGTATGAGTGTATTGCCTGCATGTTTGTGAGTGCACCATGTCATGCAATGCAGTGGAGGTCAGAAGAGGACATCAGATTCCCTTGGTGCTGGAGTTAAGGATGATAGCCGCCACGTGGGTGCTGGAAATTGAACCCAGGTATTCTGCAAGAGTAGTCAGTGCTCTTAACCACTGAGCCATCTCTCCAGCCCCTAATTGGCTAAAACTTTAAAAATTGCTTTTATACTGTATTTAGACGTTGAACCTTTAAATACTTGCTTAGTAATTTTAAGGATTTAAGATAGATGCTTACACTTATTATGTGTGAGTGTGTGTATGTGGAAGCCAGAGGACAACTTACAGGAGTCGTCAGTTCATGCCTTCTACCATGTAGGTTTTAGGGATTGAACTCGGGTCCTCAGGCTTGGTGGCAACTGCCCTTACCTACTGAGCCATCTTGCCGGCTTAGAAAAAAAAATTTTTTATCATGTACTCTGAGTAGCATACACTTCTTACTAGTTTATCAACTTTTTCTGGCCTTCTCTGAATTTGTGGGATTATAGATATTTTAGCTCTTTTTTTGAGTATTTGGAGTAAAAGAAGAGTGTCAAAATCAGCATATAAGTTACAGCAGGTACTCAAGGGCAGGCCTTTGTTCAGTGTTAGAGCATTTGTGTAGCATGCACAGAGATCCTGGGTTTGATCACCAGCACTGCAAAATAAAAGGGGAGAGGCATACAGTGGATATTCATTAGGAAAGTAGAATTGTCATCTTAACAATGAAGACTAATAGGCAAAATTAGTAGTAGAATTTTACCAAGATTATTTCTTTGTCCTAGTTATAATTATAATACTTTATTACTTTATTTTATGATTCATTTGATTTTAAATTTTTTGGGGGGACAGGGTTATCTTGTGCATCTTTGACTGGCCTCGAAGTCACTGTATAGCTGAGGATGATATTGAACTTTTGATCTCCCTCCATCTTCCAAGTGTTGGGGTTACAGCCATGTCTAGTTTATGCAGTGCTGGGAATTAAACCCAGGGTTTCATGCATTCTAGGAAAGTGCTCTACTCCCCAGATCAACTTCATTATTTTCAAGATGGAATGTGCAATTGTTCTTATCTAATTTACCATTTTTACAGAAACAGCTGTAATTCCCATTAATGGTTCACCTCGAACACCCAGGCGAGGTCAGAACAGAAGTGCCCGGATAGCAAAACAACTAGAAAATGATACAAGAATTATTGAAGTTCTCTGTAAAGAACATGAATGTAATATAGATGAGGTAATTTCACTTACATTTTCTTTAAAACTGTTAAAGTAGATGTAGATGTAAAGTTTTTCTAACAATGTGTACTTTTATTTTGAGCATGCTTCTATCATTTTTTTCACTTAGACCATTTCTTTTTTTCCAGGAACAAAATATTTAGAATTAATTTCCATACTTTTCTTTTAAAGAGAACAGCTCCCTCATTCTGGAATCACTAAATGTATATCATCAAGACAGTGATTTTTCAAATGTATTTTTTTATTCCATTGAAGCCACTAATAGCCCTAATGTTTTAAAATACCTTACAAAGAGAACCATACTTTAGTGATAAGTGATCCTAACATTAAATTTCTGTTTAGTTTTCTTTAACTCTTTCTAATACTGTGCCAGATATTAATGTTTATTCTTCTCTTCTTGGAGAGCACACATGCATACAGAGTAATTGCTTATTTTTTCCAAGAGTCTAGGATGTTGGAATTAAAGGGAATTTTAGAAATAATGTACTCTACTTTCTTGTAGTAATGAATAAACACGTTTCCAGAGACTGGCTGGTCATCACTAACAGAACATTTGCTAGTGTTTGGGACATCTAGTACAGGTTCTTGTTCATTGTACAAACTCAAGTTTATTGAAATTTTTTCTACAGTTCATACTCCCAGATGACAGTGTAAAATGTTATGCCTTTGAAATTTTTCTGACAACTCTGGGAAGGAATAAGGATGTTTCCAAAATCTAGTTAAAAGGTATTAGGATGATTACCAAGATACCTGTGATTTACCACTATGATTCTTATTAATTTCATAAACATCCATCTGTATATTAACTTTATATATAAGTATTTGCTTTTCAGTTCTCTAGAATCACAAATTGCCTATGCAAATAATCTGACAAGTGTGGTTGAATTTCTTTCTATCCCAGTAATAATTGGCTAAACATTGTTTAGCCATAAGGTAATGAATAGTAAGAAGTAAATGTTCTTTCTAATTCCTGGTTGATTTCCTGGATTTTGTAACTACTTACAAAATTTTATTTTGAAGAGTAGAATAAATACAATTTTTTTATCTTATAGAATCACTTTTTTTTTTAGAATTTAGAATCTATATAGCTATGACTAAAAAGGATTTAGTATTTTTTAAATCTTAATTTTATTTTATGTATATGAGTGTTTTGTCTGCATGTAACTAAGTGCACTTGTGTGTGTAATGCCTGTGGAGGCCAGAAGAGGGCACCAGATTCCCTAGAACTGGAGTTACAGATGGTTGTTAGCCACTCTGTGGGTGCTGGAAATCAAACTAAGGGCCTCTGGAAGAGCAGCCAGTGCTTTTAACTCCTGAGTCATCTTTCCAGCCCCAGATTAAGTATTATTTTAATTAACTAACACTTAAAATAATTGCAGTAATAAAATATTAACTTGACACTGACATATAGCATTTATGACTAACTATTGGGTGATTATACTAATCCATTGATTTACTACTCAGTATCCCAGGTAAGTTGGAATTAATTAGAAAACAAAACTAGTACTTCCTAGACTTAATTCTCACACACTAGTTTTCATAAAGAAAATTAATAAATGTAGACTCTATTTGGAAAAAAGTGTTAAAGAAAAGCCATTTGCTTAAAATTCTATAATACATTGCAGAACTAGAATAGCCAGCAATAAAACTCCAGGTTTTCTAAATGCAATTTTTTAATGATGGTTTCAATGGCTTTTTTTTTTTTTTTTCCAGAAATCCCATTTCATTAACAGTTTCCCCACGTAACCTCCATTTTAGGGCCTGGAATCTATATTACAAAGTAAATAATTGAATCAGTTATAAATAAGTATCATTAACTTGAATGTACAGTGAATGTGAGTTAAAACTTTCATTTTAGTATTAGCAGTGATGGAGACTAGATTTTGTTTTGCTTTTACTTTTAATGATTATATTATTATAATGTTATATTTTTCAGGTGAAAAATGTTTATTTCAAAAATTTTATACCTTTTATGAATTCTCTTGGAATTGTATCTTCTAATGGACTTCCAGAGGTAATTTGAAAGAAAATTCAATGAAAATGGTTTGAGGCTTTGGGGAAGAGGGTGGGTAATTGTTTAAATTTCTTTAAGATCAATTTACTGAATATCAGTTTTTTTCTCAAAGAAAAGAACTTAAATCAGTTGTCAAACTTTCTTTGTGGTAACAAATTTTTAAAATATATTCAAATTATAAAAAACATCATTTCATCAAAAGGCAGGTAATTAGATAGATTGCTGATTCTGTCACCTGGAGTGGTAGTAGTTCTTGAATTGATTTACTAATTCAGCAGGTATTTGTTGAGTGCTTACTATGTGCCAAGGGTTATGTAGATAATGTGGATGAACTGTCATTGTCCTTAAGGTGCTGGTGGGGACGGCAGGTAAAGAAATGGAATACTGGATGAGCCAGGAATGCTAATGTATACCTGTAATCAAGACAGAGACAGGAGGATCTTGAGTTTGTTTAGGGCCAACCCATAGTATGTAGTAAGACTCTGACTCCAAAAGGAAGAAAAGAAAAAAAAAAAACAGGCATCCTGAAGATGGCAGTTGGCACCCATGATGGAATGCTAGAGTCACTGTGGAATAAATCATATGAAGTGGACTGTGAAGGATAAGCACTAGGTTTAATAGCAAAGAACCGAAACTGTAAAACACAACCAGAGGTGGTCCGTAGTCCTTTCTGGAGGGCTCAGCTCTGATTGGGGAAGTGCTTACTCTAAAGTGTGAGGGAATACAACTGCAGAGGGTCATAACCATGCCTTAAGATAGCCTCAGAAACTCACACTGTGCTTTTAAGTAATGGATCATCTAAGAGAGGTGGAAAGGGGCAGTGCAGGGAAAATCCTCTCATCTTGGCATTGAACTAGAGCAGTGGCAGGTTTAAAACTATTCCTGCTGAGTCAGTGGCTAAGCAGCTTTGAGACCAAAAAGTCCCTCCTTGTACTACTTAATCTAGGAATCCAGGGCAAGTGTCATGGGACAATATGTTGAAAGATAGCCTGTGGAGTTCCTCTGACTAGTGGGGAAAAACTGAATTAGAACCACACAATGTCTGGGAGGTGGAAATCTCTTATAAGCCACAGACTGAGATGGATTGCTAAAATACTGGATCCTGTCGGTCCAGCAACAGCACTTGTGCCAAGGGCTGCACAGAAGCAGGTCTGGCACCCTTGCCCATGGAGGGAACCACACAGATGGGACTGATGTCTGTACCCAGGTGAGGGACTACAGAGGCAGGCCAGGTACCCATACCTAGGTCCAAGAGAGCATATACAGTCTCTGCACCCCTGCCCAGTTCTCTTTCCTTCCCTGTTATGCTTCTGTTATTTAATTTTCTGCTCTGCCTTCTGCCTCCCTGTTCTTTTTTGGCTAGACTTTATCGAGGAACACAAGCTGAACTGGAATGAGGTCTTCCTGCCTCAGCCTCCTGTGCTGGGGTTGTTTTACGTTGCCTCTTGACATGTTTTTATCTTTCTTTTTTCATTCTCCTTCTAGCTGGAGCTCCCTTATCTCCTTCCTTTGTCTCTATTGTTCTCTCCCATGATTTTCTTTTCCATTTTCCCTTTGATGCTCTATATGAGTAACTAGTCTTTCTCTTTTTATTTCCTTCCCATTCCTACCCTTAGTGACTAATATATTACTACACACAATACTGTCCTTCTTATTTATTACCCTAGAATTAGTGGAGTTAAAGAGGTGGCTGTTTTTAATTGGCTGTTACTGTATTTTCATAGTGGGTGTTGTCATCATCTGTGGTCACTTTTGCAGTTAATATTCTACTCTGAGTAGAACTGGAGATTGAGCTTGATGCCCTGAGCATGTAAGTTGAGGGATTAGCTACTGAGCTACTCCCAAGTCCAGTGGGTAGAAACATCACCTAAACTGCACTACAGTCTAGTCCTACTTGAACATTACAAATTCTTCCACTGAAAGACATCAGGTGATTAAAATAAATTCAATCAATGATCTACTCCCAGATGTGTAAATTCCAACATGGAAACTGCTGGTTAGCTTTAGTTGTCAACTTGACACACCTGGGTAAAGGGAGTCTCAATTAGTGAGTTACCCCCATTGGACTGGCCTGTGGCCATGTCTGTGGGGCATCTTCTTGATTATTGAGTGATGTGGGAGGGCCCAACCCACTGTGGGTGGTGCCACCCTGGGCAGATGGGCCTATGTTGTATAAGAAAGCAGGTTGAGCAGGGGCCAGGGGAGCAAGCCAGTAAGCAGCAGTCCTCCACATCCTGTGCTCCAGGTTACTGCCCTGAGTTCCTACATTGGGCTCCCTCAGTGATGAACTGAGACCTGGGAGATGTAAGCCAAATAAAACCTTTCCTCCCAAAGCTGATTTTGGTCAGAGTGTTTTGTCATGGCAATCAAAAAGAAACTAGAACAGAAACACAAGAAACATGAAAAGTAAAGGTGAGATGATTCCTTTGAAAATTACTAAACAACAATAATGAATTCTGATAAAAGTGAATTAAATGAAATCCTAGACAAAGAATTAAAAAATGGTTATATGAATGTTCAACAAAATCAAAGCGAACACTACAAGCAAATAGCTGGATAAAACAAAGTTAATACAAGATAGGTAAATGAAGCTGTGAAAAGAACCAAATTGATAATGTGAAAATGGAAACCTTAGTAAAGCAAATAAAAATTCACCAGAAAGCCTTGAAGACAAGGTAGATGAATTAGAACATTTATACAGAAAGATAAATAAGGTACAAGCAGAACATACAAGCTCTATGGAACACCATTAAAAGACCAACTCTATTAATCACAGACAGAGAAGAGCTAAAGACATAGAAAATATAGTCAGTAAAGTCATAGCAGACAATATCTTGTTAAAGGAAAGAGATGGCCATCCAGATTTTAGAAGCATTTAGAATGCCAAATCACGAAGACTATCAGAGAACCTCCCCATATCATTTATAGTTAAACACTAAGTACAGAGAAGGAAGAAATACTATTGAAAGCTGAAAGAGAAAGGCACTACATTTCCTAAAAGAAAATCAATCAGTGTATCAGGAGACTTTGCAAAAGAAACTCTAAAGCCAGGAGGACATAGTATAAGAATTTCAAGCTCTGAAAGACAGCAAGTGCCAACCTAGGTGACTATATTGAGCGTATTCATAATTGAAGGGAAAAAAATCATGATAAACATTACAGAAGTCTATGACCATTAAACCAACAGTACAGAAGATACTTCAAGGAATCCTATACACTAGAGAAATATAGACTCATCCATGAGGCTACAGGAAAAAAGAAACCTCATTAGAACAGTAAATAAGCAAATAGGATTAGGAGAGACCAAACATTACAAAAGCAACAAAAGTACAGGAGTACATACCTTTTAGCAATAACTGAATGTTAACAGTCTCAAATCCCCAATCAAAAGACACAGGCTAACATACTGGGTTTATAAAACAAGACCCACATATTTGTTGCTTATGAGAAATAACATCTAACTGGCAAAGACAAGCAGAGCCTTAGGGTGAAAGGCTGAAAAAAGATATTCTGAGCAAATGGAACTAGAAAGCGATAAAGGTATGGTGATACTAATATCTGATAAAATATTCTGCAAGCCAAAAGTAAAAGAGATAAAGATGGTCACTTTGTGCTGATTAAGGGAACAATCCATCCAAACAGCACTACAGTTCTAAGCAGATGTACACACTAAACATTGGTAAACCAAAATTTCATAAGGTTTGGAAAGACACATATTAAACCCTACACAAAAACAGTGGGTAACATTAGTACTTGCTTCTCACTAATAAAGAGTCCATCTGGAGCAAAAATCAGAAAAATGGTATTAGAGATGAAGACTTAACAGATACCTACAGAATATTTTGCCCAAGCACCACAGAATATACCATCTTAGCAACATATTAGAAAATTGAACACATTTTAGGACACAAAAGTAGCTTTTAACAAATATAAGAAAACTGTAATAATTTCTTATATTCTGTCTGATCACAGTGGAGTAAAACTAGGAATTGAGAGCAAGCTAAACTATAGAACGTACACAAAGTTATGGAGCTTTAGCAACAGCAATAAATGAATCATCAAAGAAAATGTAAAATACCTAGAATGAAATGAAAGTGGAAACATAGTATACCAGAACTTGTGGGGTACAATAAAGCAGTTCTGTGAGGTAATTGTGTAGCTATAAAATGCCTACATAAAAAAAAAATCATACAAAACTCATATAAGTTAATGACGTACCTCAAGTTTTTAGAACATCAAGAACAGGCCAAACTGACAGTGAAATCAGCAGACAGACAGAAAGAAAGATCAGGACAGAGATGATGGAAGTGAGCAGGACCAGGCAAAGAATCAGTAAAACAGAATTGGGTCTTTGAAGAGATAAACAAGTTCCAGATTGGCAAACTTTTAGTCAAACTAACCGAAAGAAAGGGGAAGGACCCAATTCAATAAAATTAAAGGTGAAAAGAGAAACATTGCAACAGACTAGAAGATCATTAGAACCACTTTGAAAACCAACATTCCAATAAGTTGAAAAATCTAGAAGAAATGGTTAATTCTAGACACAAAATTAAACTGGAGTCTATAAAGAAATAGATCTGTAATAAACAATGAGATTGAAGAAGTAATAACTCAACTGGAAAAACTTGGGCCCAGATAGATTGCTCCTGAGTTCACCAGTGCGCCTCAGACTATTCCATAAGTTAGAAAAGGAAGGAATGTCATCAGGATACCAAAACCAAGTGAGGACACACACAAAATTATAGGATAGAGCTTTCTCCCTGATGAACATGGATATAGAAATCCTCAATAAAATACCTGTAAACCAAATTATACATGTAAAAGATCATTCACATGACCAGTAGGCTTCAAGGGATACAACAAGGATGGTTCAGTGTATGCAATTCAATAAATGTATCACAAAAATAGACTCAAGGATAGAAATCACAGAGTCATCTCATTAAATGCAGAAAGGCCTTTCATGACGTCCAACATTCTTTTATGATAAATGCCCTGAAGAATTCGGGAAGAGAAGAAACCTCTCTTATAAAGGCTGTATGACAGAACGGTAGCCAACATACTAAATGGGGAGAAACTCAAAGCATTTCCACCTACATTAGGAATGAAACAAGGATGTTCACTTCCTTTACTTTTTTTCAGTGTCATACTTTAAAAGTCTTAACTAGAACAAGAGACGAGAAAAATGAAATATTAAAATAAGAAAAGAATCAAGGGGCAGGAGAGATTACTCAGGTATTGGTTGCTTTTTAAGAGGACCCAGGTTCAGTTTCCAACATCCACATGGTGGCTAACATTCTGTACCTCCAGTTCCAGGGGGTCCAGCACCCTCTTCTGGCCTCTGTGGGTATTGCATGCATGTGGTACATTTTCTTATATGCAGAACAAATAAAATGAAAATAAATGAATAAAAAGAACTAGAAGGTAGAGACACGTGATCCCTTAAGCATGCAAAGTAACCAGATTAGCCATATCAGCAAGTTATGCTATGTGTTCAGTTGAGAGACCCTGACCCATTTAAATGAGGTGGAGTGTATTCAAGGAAGACTTTTTGTTTTGTTTTCTTTTGTTTTGTTTTTGTAAAGACAGGGTCTCACTGTGTAGCCCTGACTTGCCTGAAAGTTGCTGATCTCAACTCACAGAGATCTGGCTGCCTCTGCCTCCCATGTGCTGAGATTACAGCTGAGGAAGATGTCAGACGTGGGTCTCTGGGTACACACACACATACCACATGTGCCCACACATCTGTGAACATGAATACACACCACACATTTGAAAAAGGAAAGAGGTCACAGTAGCTCTGTTTGCAGACAGTATAATCCTTTACATAAGAGACCTTAAAGATTTCACTAAACAGTTCTTAGAACTGATAAACACTTTTAGCAAAATAACAATATAAAATGAACATGCAGCAATCAATAGTTTTTCTGTATAATAATGAATACACTGAGAAAGAAATCAGGGACACAGTCTCATCCACAATAACTTAAAAAATAAATAAAATATCTAAGAATAATCCTAACTCAGGATGTAAAAGTATTTTTCAGTGAACATTTTAAAACAGAATTTGAAAAAGAAACTAAAAAATGTAAATATTTCTCATGTTTGTAGATTGGCAGGATTAATGTAGTGAAAATGATCGTATTAACAAAAACAATACAGATTTAATGCAACCCCCATGAAATTTCCCATGATGTTTGTCACAAATCTAAAAAAAAAAAAATCTTCAAAAGACCCCCAGTTAGCCAAAGTAGTCCTAAACAGAAAGATTCATGCTGCAGGAATCACATTAACATCTCAAATTATCTTACAGAGGCCAGGTCAGGTCCAGTGGTGCATGCTTTAAATCCTGTCACTCTGGAGGCTGAGGCAGATGGACCTCTGGGAGAGCAAAGGGCAGCCTGGTTGGTCTATATTGTGAGTTCCAGGCCAGCTGGGACTACAAGAAAACCCTCTCTCAAAAACCACAAAGAAAGAAAGAGAGGTGGGGAGGGGCAGGGAAGAGAAAAATTAAATTATCTACAGAGCCATGGTAACTAAAACAGCATAATACTGGCACATGGAAAAAAGATACATAGGTTAAATAGAATAGGTTACTCAATATGAAACCCATGCAGCTTCAGCTATCTGACCTTTTTTTTTTTTGATAAAAATGACAAAAATATGTATTGGAGAAAATAGCTTCAGCAATGTGTAGAGAAATGAAATTAGTTTCAAGGCTCTCATCCTATATAAAAATCAATTCAAAATGTATCTTAATGTATCATCAGAAACTGAAACTGCTACAGAAAAACATAGGTAAACAAACCACTTTAGGATATAGACATGATTTTCTGAAGAAAAAAAAAAGACTCCAGTAGCTCAGGAACTGATGAATGGGATTGCATGAAATTAAAAGACAGAGCCTAAAACATAAGTAAATTTTATATTTAGATCCTGTTCTCAAGATACTTCATTTTTTTATATGCCAGTATTCCCAAAATTTCAAAATCCAAAATACTCTTGGTTTCAAACATGTTGAGTAAGAGGTACTCAACCTGTGATGCCTATTTTTGTTGTCAGCATTGTTTTGTGGCATTAATAATCCTTGTCTACCTATACAAAATTCTAATAAGTGAGATATTTATATAAAATAGCCTAAAAGTTGAAGTTAAAATGTATATGTAGAAAACTATAGTTCACTTTTAGACAGTTAGGCCTTACTTATGTTGAATGTAAACTCAGTTATGTTTTCAAATTAAATATATGTTTTACAAAAGTTCTTTAGTGGGATCTGCTTGTGTTCCCTAAGAGATCTAACAAAGAATAACTGCCAGTTTCTTTTTTTTTTTTTTTTTTTTGAGGTTGAAAGTCTCTCTAAACGATATGAAGAACTTTATCTTAAAAATAAAGACCTAGATGCAAGACTTTTTTTGGATCATGATAAAACTCTTCAGACTGACCCTGTAGACAGGTATTACACATGATACATTTTTTATGTATTTATATGCTTTTGATATAGATTGATATTAGTAAGGTAAATCGCATAGATTTGATTAATTTAGTGACCTTTAAGCATCATTTATAGTAAATTGCTTTCAAATGCCTTTATATAGTGAAAAGGTAGTATTCTAAGCATATAATTTAGTAACAAATAGAGATGTAATGTGAATTGTGTTCTATAACAATTGTTTTTTTTCAGCCAGTTGAATAAAAACATTTAATGTGTACCAAGGGAAAATTGATTGAACTAATTAGTTTACTCAGGTGGTGTCTCTTTATTTCATTATTTTGATCTACTATTGCCTTCTTGACATTTAAAAAATACTGCAATAAAAATTATCTTAAATTATCAGGGAGAATCCTAAAATAGGAATAGCTGAGAGTAATTTCAAAAAATTTTTAATTAGTTATGCATAAGACTAATTTTACTCTTTAGTATGAAATATTTTAATATAAAATAAAAACGTATAATTTAGAGATTAAGCACATTAAACTGTTTTTAAAATGTTTTTATTTATTTTTATTTATGGGTATAAGTATTTTGCCTGCATATATGCAAGTGTATCCATATCTGCAAAGCCTATGGAATCCAGAAGAAGGCATCAGACCTGGAATTACGGAAGTTTGTTAGCTACCATACGGGTGCTGGAAACCAAACCCAAGTCCTCTGTAAGAGCAGGCAGTGCTCTTAACTGCTGTTCTGACTTTCCAGCATAGCACACCACATTAAAATGTCTTGAATTTTATTTAAATAGAAATAAAATGTTTAGAAAGTATAGTACACTGAAAAACTTGAACTGTGATGTTTTAAGATTCTAAACAGCTTGGCTGTTAATGCCACCAGCAAGAAAACATCTTTCACTTTCCAGAAAATAGTGTATTGATGGTTGGTACTCCACTTTGTTATAAAACTAGTAGAAAAAGATCCATGCTTAAGAATGATCATGAAAGCCAGGCATGGTGGTACATACTTTTGATCCCAGCACTCTGGAGTCCAGCCTGATCTACACAGTGTCCCGTTCCAGGCCAGCTGGGGCGACCTTGGTCTTGTAAAGACCAAAAAAGAAAAGAAAAGAAGAATGATGATGGGGGGGCGCAGAGAACAAAACCTTCATTTAAGCAAAGTTGGGTCATCCATTCCTATGACTTCTCTTACTGACAACATTTTGTGAGATGCTCTGAAGTAGCAGGAGGTAAAATATTGCTTTTTTTTTTTTAACCCACAAACACAAATTGTAAAATTTCAGTATGAATTACTTTACTTGTCATTTAGTTTTGAAACAGAGAGAACACCACGAAAAAATAACCCTGATGAAGAGGCAAATATGGTTCCTCCACACACGCCAGTTAGGTATGCATTTTCTTAGTTTTAATTTTTGTTATAATTATTTAGTACTTTATAGTGCTTCAGGTTTGTTCGACATGTAACCAATCTATAGCAAATGTTCTTTCTGTTTAGACAATTTTGAATTGCTTAGATTCCAATTATTAGACCTAGTTAGTTCGTGTATATGTAAGGAACATAACCTAAAATGCACGTTTCAGCTCAGTAAAGCAGAAAGAAAGATGTTTGACATGCACGTAACCTTGAAGGGTTAGAACTGTTTTTGTCCTTTCTTCACTCACTTCCCTCCCACATTTGAATCTGTTATCAGAGCTTATTGGGTTCTCCAGAGTATTTCTCCAGTCCATATGCTTTCCTCCATTTCTCTCACCATCTGCATGCAAGTCTTTTGAATTTCCTGATGTTTCTCTCACCACTGTACCTTAATCCTACCAACAAATCTATTCTCCACAGAAATGTAAATCAAATTATGTGTGTTGACACTGCTGTTAAAAGCCCCTGATTGCTTCTGGTTGCATTTGGAATACAAAACAAGTTCCTTAGCAATCTCCACAAGACCTCAAATGATCTGGCTCCGTTGCCTCTCCAGCTTCCTTTTGTTTCTGGTTACTGTGTTGCTCACATACTGGTCTTCTTTCAGTTCTTGGACTGTCCAAGCTCTTTTATATTGAAAACCTTCATACTTGGTGTTCTCACTTAAAGCTCTTTTCATGGCTTGCCAGCTACCACTCTTCTTTATGTTCCGCAATAATACTGCTTTTAAAAAGATGTATTTCTCTTTGAGGTATGTTTATTCTTTCTCAGAGCATCCTGTTCTTTATACCACATTTTATAATTATAAATACATTTGTGGATTTACATGATTTTCACTAATACCAACAATAGCCTTTAAATTCCATTCCATATGGACCATGACTTTTTTGTTCACAATTTTAATAAAGACTTATGATGATGCTTGGTACATAGTAAACAAACAAGCAGTAATATATTTTAAATTACTGTATTGATATATAAACAGACACATTTTCACATCAACATAATAGTAGACTTATGGACAAAGCTAATGAAATAGCATAGATTGTATGAAATGATGCCCGAGATGAAGGAGTGGGAAGCATCTGCAAAGGCATTGAAATGTGACATAGCTCTTTGTCTAGAAACTATTAACTGCTCTGTATTAATTGTAAGATGAGAGGATGAAAGAGCAGGAGCAGAGAGCAGGTACTAGACACAAAAGACCTTGTATGCAGTACATACTTTTCCTGGTATATGATGTAGCCTGTGTTTTAAATGGGTATTAAGCACAATTAAGAATAACGACAGACTTGAATTCTCAGATAGAGAAGTTTGTTTGTTTTCTCCTTGTGGAGAAAGGATCAGATACAAAGCTTTATACACACCAGGCAAGCACTCTACCCCAGGCCAGACTTTGTTTTTACAAATTTACATGCCAGTGGTTTGTGAGGGGATGGACTGAGCAATGAACAGGTTATAAAAAGACCTATCGATCTGTTCTAGAGCTTGGACCAAGATGCAAATTAGAATAACCCGAGGAATTTTTTTCATGCTACATGCCTCTACCTTTTACTCACAATGTATAAACATTTCTGGACTGACCTATCAGAGTAGTTCAGCTGAGCCATGCTGAGGATCTGAAACAAATGAGTAGTGGTGGGAATGAAGGAGCAGAAACAGACTTGATAAACATGAATTCTCACTTAGAATGTTGATCTTAGAGCATTTAGGGAGATGATATCTAATAAGCCACAGGATATAAGTCTCTTAAAGATTGGGCAATCATCAGGGGAAATTAAAACTATAACATTAGATGCAACTGCATGAAATGAGGATCTATAAAGGCAAGAATGGGTGGCAAGGGTTGAGCCCTGAAGAACCGTAGCATTTAAGGAATGGATAGAAGTTAGATTGTAGAGAATGAACAGGGGTGACTTGTGAGCCTAGAGCATGAAACCAGGAGTCTGAGGGCAGGTGCCAGAATTAGGAGAGAGCAAGTGTTTGAGTCAGTTGCTTCTAGGAAGTCAGTTGTCAGAATAAATTTGAAAGGTCTTTTGGTTTTAGCAGTTGGGTCATTTGTGGTGTTAGTCATTGTGACTTATGTGTAGAAGAAGCTGTAAAGACCACATGGCAATATGTTTGAAAGGTGAAATAGAGAGAGGCCTGGCTGAGAACAAGATGTGTTTTGCATTATATTTAAGGACTCTTCCAGACATAAACAGTTGTGGTTCTTTTTATCCTTAATGTTTCAAATGTACTATTACAAAACTGGAACAGTACTTTTTACTATGTGCCATATACACAACTGTGTGCATATGTGCAAAGTATAGATGCAAGAGGTCTTGAGAGATTGGTCTAATTTTATACTTTAATAAAGAAATTCCTTTGAGTCTTTGCCTGTATTTCTAAATACCTTACTGTCTTTATTTGGAGGTTGAAAATATGTAACCTTTAAAGCCAGGCATGGTGGCTCTTTCTTGTAATCTCTGTACTTGGGAGGCTGAGCTAGGATTGCTGCAAGTTTCAGGATAGCCTGTGGTATATAATGAGACCTTGTCTTGTGGGGGGATGTTAATATTTAATTGTTATGTTTTCTTGAAAGAATACCATTTTGATGACCATTATTTGTCCATGTGATATGAAAATATACCATATTTTTCACTGGATGTAATAGCATATGCCTTTAATCCTACTGCTCAAGAGGTAGAGGCAGGCAGATCTCTATAAGTTTGAGGCCAGGCTGGTCTACATAGAGAGTTCTAGGCCAATCAGGGCTGCATAGTGAGACTCTGTCTTTAAAAAGAAAAACAGATTCATATATTTATTTTATAAAGTCATTAGTATGACCAAATAATACTATATTATTTTTTTCCTAGAGGAGAAAACGGTTTATTTCATCTTACAGATCACAGTTCACCACTTAGGAAAGTCAGGGTAGAAATTCAAGGCAGGAATCTGAAGGCTAGAACCATGGAGTAACACTATTTACTGATTCCCTCTCCCTGGCTCATTTCCAGCTAGCTTTCTTTTAATTTATTTTTATGTAGATTTTTATTGACTTTTTGTGCATTTCATATAATAGATCTTAATCAAATTTAGACCCCCCTCCTCTATTTGTACCCCCCAGACCCACCCCTTCCACCTGATTTCATGCCTGTATTTCTTTTCGTTTTTTGCTTTGTTGCCTGATGTTTCTTCCTGTGTTTTTTTCTCTAGGACTGTTATGAATACTATCCAACAGCTAATGATGATTTTAAATTCCGCGAGTGATCAACCATCAGAAAATTTGATTTCCTACTTCAATGTAAGCATATATAAAATATTATTTTTTTGTGATATCTTGAAGAAAATTTGAAATTAGAAGCTAAAATACTAAGTATATTTTAAAACACTTATCTTCCATCCAACACATAGGTATTTGCTACCTTATTTTTTGCTTTTTTAGCCTCCCAGATTTGATGTTATGATTTTATTTAAATACTATCATTTTGTAACTTAGACCTCACAACTTAGAACTCACCTTTGAGATTTTTTTCTTTTTTTCATTTCTCTTTCTTTCTGTTTTATTTTTGTGTGGTGTGTGCTTGTATCTGCATGTATGTGTGTAGGTATGCACACCCATGTGTGTGGAGGCCAGATGGCAACACCTGGTATCTTCCTCTATTGCTTTTCACTTCATTTTTACAACAGGCTCTTTCACTGAACTTGGAGCTCACCAGTTGTCTAGAAACTGGCTGGTGAGTGAGTCCCCAGTATCAGAGCCTTCCAATTCTGGGTTTACAGGTGCATGGTGCCACATCTGGCCTTTTTTGTGGTTGCTAGGGATCCAGACTTAGGTTCTCATGCTTGCAGAGCAAGCACTTTACCCACTGAGCCATCTCCCCAGTTCATCTTTCTTCTCGCTCTCGCTCTTGCTCTCTCATTACTGTTTAGTATGTGTACTTCTTTTTGCTAGTCTTTTAAGTTAGCATACAGAGTAATGGGTTTCATTATGGCACAGTCACACATATGTACCACTATATACTGTTTTAATTTATCATGCCCTCAGCTCTTCTCTCTTACGCTTCTTGTTCTCTTCTTTGTGGTCCTCTTCTTCCCCCCCAAATAGTCCTCCCTTTCATTTTTGTGTTACATGTATTCCATTGCCTTCTCTCCCCTGTTCCCCTCTTCCCTTTCCTTTAAGATTTCTTCTTCCCCCTTATGGTCTCTGTTCTACTTTTGTTTTCTTCTTCCCCCTTATGGTCTCTGCTCTACTTTTGTTAGCTAAACACACACACACACACACACACACACACACACACACACACACACAATTTACATCTAGGTTCTGCATATGAAAGAAAATGTGCTATTTGACTTTCTGAGTCTGGCTTATTTTGATTTGATATGATGTCCAGTTATATCCATTTTCTGGTAAATATTTCTTTTTTCTCTATAGCTGAATGAAATTCCATTGTGCATATGATAAACATATAGGTTGGCTTCATTTCCTAGTAATTACAAACAGTACAACAGTTAACATGGGTGTACAGGTATCTCTGTGATCTGTTGACTTACAGCCCTTTGGACATATACCCAGGAATGAGATAGTTCTAGTTTTAGTTTTTGGTGTGTGAGGTTTGACACAGGGTCTCACATATTTTTAGTTTTAAAAAAATATATTTTATTTGGGTCTGAGAGGTGGCTCAGCGGTTAAGAGCACTGGCTGCCCTTGCAGAGGATCAGCACCCACATTAAGCCTAACAGCCATCTGTACTCCAGTTCCAGGGAAATCCAACATCTTCTAACCTCTGTGGGCACTGTACAACACAGGTGCACCTATCTACATGCAGGCAATACACTCATACACACAAAAGAATAATACAAATAAAATATTTTAAAATATATTTATTTATCATTTTAATTTTTTGTGTATGAGTGTATTGCTGCTGAGCCATCTCTCCAGCCTCATATTTTTTAGTTTTTTGAGAAACTGCCATATTGGTTTTTCTAGTGGCTGCACTAACTTATGTTCCCACTAACAGTATATGCGAACTCTTCTTTCCTCATATCCTTACACATTTGTTGTTGTTTTCTCTTTGTGATAGTCATTTTGACTGAAGTGAGCTGGAATCTCAAAGCAGTTTTAATGTGCATTTCCTTGATGGCTAAGGGTGTTGGACACTTTAAAAAATATTTATTGGCTATTTTTATTTCTTCTTTAAAAATATTTTATTTATTTTTACGTTGTATGAAGGTATTGTTTGCATGTACATAGGTGCACCCATGATGTGCAGTGCCCTTAGAGGTCAGAGGAGGGCACTGGAGTTATGGACGGTTGTTAACCATCATGTGGGTGCTAGGAACCAAACCCAGATCCTCTGCCACAACAGTCAGTGCTCTTAACCTCTGAGCCATCTCTCCAGCCCCTATTTCTTCTTTTGAGAACTATCTGTTTAGTTTTTGGCCCATATATTGATTAGATTATTTGGTTTTGGGTGTTTAATTTTTGGAATTCCAGGTATTAATCCCATGCTTAGTGTATGGTTAACAATGAATTTTTTTCCCCAGTCTGGCAGGCTATGCCTTTACCCTGATAATTGTTCCCTATCCTGTGCAGATGTTTTTTAGTTTCATGTAATCCCATTTGTGAATTCTTGGTATTATTTCTTGTGTTATTAGAAACTTTTTCAGAGAGAGAAAAAAATGTTGTGTTGAAGCAGCTTTTTCTTGGATCCTCAAAACTTGGAGACTGCCTGGTATATTCAGAACCATAGTAGATGATCAGTTGAACTTGTGTATGCTTGCATTTCATTTGGTTTATCCTAGTGTTGTTTGTATTAGACAGGTGTCCTTTGTCAAAGCTGTCTTCACTTAAGAAGCTTTCCTTTTGTGCATACTGTGGGCATCTGGGGGTGGCCACTTAGTTTTGCAGTGTATGTGCTGGGTAGGTTGTCTCAGCCTCTCAAAATTCCTCTGATTATACCCCCTGGGATGTCTACTATTCTAGCTGGGGTTTCTCAAGTGTTTTAAAAGTACAGGAGGTAACCATGGCATTGAGATCTCTACAGGGGGAGACCCTATCTTTATATTAATCATCCTGCTGCCAGCAGACTGTTGGAGCTTCAGAGTTCTGGTGTTCTACTGGAGTTAGTGGCAGACAGGTGGTCCCTGTGGTTATTCCACCCACTGACCTCAGGCTCAGAACTTTGAATCTCCCAGACCATTCACATAGTCCGTGAAATATGTTCCTAGCCACCAATGACTGGGAGCTCTGAGTCTGACTCTTCTTCACTTTCTCACACAGAGGCTGCTTCTAGTCCATCTTACATGAAAGTCCATTTTCTTTCTTCCTTAAATATATTCTTTTTTCTTCATTTTTAATATTTTTATTGCGTTTCTGTGCATTTCATATAATACATGTTAATCAAATTTAGAACCCCCACCCCCTACCCCACAGAGCCCCTCCTGGCCAGATTTGAGGTATTCTGTCATATATGTTAAGTCTTATCCAGTCAAGCATTTCTATCTAGGTATCCCTCGGTGGAGGTTCATCCACTGGAGTCAATTTAGATATATTCTTTAGCCAATTTCTTTAACAAGGTTAAATTATAGTTACAAGTACATGGTTTGATGGTGGTTTTCTTTTTTATTTTGTTGGGGGGATATTCTCTCTCTCTCGCTCTCTCTCTCTCTCTCTCTCTGTGTGTCTAAGTAAGTAAGTAAAATGCTTTTACCCTTTGTGCTAAAAGGTTTAGGTAGATCTTTAATTTTAGGTTGACATTTCCTCTCAGAAATTTGAGATATTTACTATTTTCAAGATTCTGTTGCTGCTACAAAGCCTCTTGTCAATCTATTTATTTTAGCTAATATATCTTTCTCTCTGACTGCTTTTAAGATCTCTTCTTTGAATATGATGCCAGATAGGACTTAACAGTATCATAGCCCTTGCAATTAGTAGACTTTTAAAGTTTGATATTTGAAATTTTCTGTTGTCCCGTGCTCAGAAAAGGGAGAGAAGAGAATGAAAGCTAGCGTCTGCATTGCTGACTTGCTCCTTCACACCTCCTTGAAGGTCCAAGACCCACGGACACATTGATCTGTGGATATTATATCGGGAACTCTGTATAGATTGGCTTATTATTGTAATCATGTGCTTTTTATAGCTGTAAGCATTCCATTTACTAGTATAACCTGCCTGTTTTTGTCATATTTTGTTGTCATCTTTGTTGTATTATGCCTAGAAATTTACAAAGCAATTTCTGTCATTGTAGTCACAATTATATTGCTCAAAGCAGATTTTGTTTGCCCAACTTCTATAAAGTTGTAATTCTGTAGGTCAAGAATATGCTGAACATCTACCCAATTGCCTAGAACTTTTAGCAAAGATAATGTAGAAGTTAAAGAAAGATAATCTCTTCTCAAGTATCATTTTGAATACTTGTCCCAGTCTTTGGAGTATGAAGGAACTTTTTTTTATTTATATTACTTTGCTTAGGTTAGGAAGTTCTGTCTCAGAGTCATTTTCTGACTCTCAGTTTAAAGCTTGACTTTTAATGAAGCTTAAAGCTGACCTGACCAGTTTGTGTAGATGATGGGTCATCTCAGAATGAGCATTACTTGAAGGTCATTGCATTTTTCTTTCACTTTACTCCTTTTTTTTTTTTTTTTTGGTTATGCCTTTTTTCTTTTTCTTATTTTCTTCGTTCTCTTTTCCCTCCTTCCCTCTCTTTGTCCCTCCCACTTTCCATCTCACTGCTCTAAACTCACTATTTAGCTAGGCTGACCTTGAACCTCCTAAATGGGGAGATTTAGGCATTCTCCACCATACTTAAATTTTTTACTTCTTTATTAGTTCAGGTCTCCCCATTAAAAAATTTAATACAGGGCCTGGAGAGATGGCACTGCAGTTAAAAGCACTGACTGCTCTTGCAGAAGACCTGGGTTTGATTCCCAGCACCTCCATGGTGGCAGACAACCATCTGTAACTCCAGTTCCAGGGGATCTGACACCTTCTTATGTCCTCCTTGGGCATTGCACAACACAGGTGCACTAACACACATGCAGGCAATACATTTGTACACTTAAAAAAATAAAATATTTTAAAAAATTAATTCCATCTTCCCTATGTGTAAGATCTTACATTGTAATGGACATTTTGGCAACAATGACTTCATTTAAGGAAGTGGTTCTTTAATGTTTCTAAGATTTTCATGTTACTTTGTTTTGAAGCACAGAATTATTGAGTTTTTTTTTCTTCTTTTTTTCTTTCTTTTTTTTTTCTTTTTTGAGACAGGGCCTCACTCTGTAGCTTACTTGGCCTAGAACTCTGTATGTTGACCAGACTGGTCTTGAATTCACAGAGATCTTTCCACCTCTGCCTCCTGAGTGCCACCATGTCTATCCTTAGGTATGAAATTTTTAATAACACTGTACAAAGAAAATTATAATCAGTCTTAATTTTAGAAAGTTTATTTTCTAGTGTATGATATTTTGAGTGTGTGTGCGAGCATAAAGACTATAAAAATAAAATCAGTCTTTGATTATAAGAGATAAGAATCATGTTTGGGGTATATTTTAATATAACATAATGTAAGTTATAGATTATAATACATCCTACGACATACTTTATCATATCTTCTGATGTGCTTTAGTTAGTGAAGTTGATAAATATATCCCCATCTCAAATGATAATGTATTAGACTTCTTTTTTAACTTATTTCCCCTTCTTGTGTTCCTGAATATATAGGTAAATGATTTAGCTAATTCTTTGCTCTCTTAAAGCACAGATTTTCTGGGTGTGGTGATGCATACCTTTAATCTTAGCACTCTGGAGGCAGAGGCAGGTGAATCTCACAGATTGAGGCCAGTCTGGTCAACGGGGAATTCCAGGCTAGGTGGGGAAACAGGGAGACTCTATATCAAACAAACAAACAAACAACAAAAAGCATAGATTTAATTAGGAAATGAAACCAACCCCAAATCTTATTTTTACTCCTTTATTTGCTTTTGGTGAGAGGTATAGCATACATACTAAAACTAACTTTTTATTATTTTTATTATCTTATTTTTATGTTTATTAGTTTATTATTTTTATATTTATTATTTTATTAATTAATTAATTTGTATGAATGTTTTGTCTACATGTATGTTAAGCGTACCTGTGTCCTGCATGGAAGCCAGAGAAGGGCATTGGATCCCCTGGAACTGGAGATAGGGAAGGTTGTTAGCTGCCATGTAGGTGTTAGAAATTGAACCTGGGTCCTTTTCAAGAGGAGTCAGTGCTTTTAACTGCTTAGTTGTCTCTCCAGCCCCCTAAAGTACCTCTTAATTGAGGGTACTTTATGAGACTGTATGATGGATGGAAGAGCTTTCTTCCATAGCTTAGCAGCAGAAAATTTAGGTATCAGGGTATTTACATTGTTTTGAGTAATTATTGAAAATAGTTTCTGGGGCTGGAGAGATGGCTCAGTGTTTAAGAACACTGGTTGTTCTTGCAGAAGACCCGGATTCGAATCCCAGCACCCACATGGCAGCTAACAACTGTTGGTAACTCCAGTTCCAGGGAATCCGAAAGCCTCTTTTGTCCTCTGCGGGCATTGCACAACATGGGTGCACTTACCTACATGCAGGCAATACACTCATACACATAAAATAAAAATAACAAAAACATATTTTTTTAAAAAAGAAAATAATTTCTAACATGCAGTAAAATTCTATATTGACTGCTCATGTTCTCTAATGTTGCTTAATTTGTTATAATTGAAGTGTTCCCTTGTTTTCATGAACATACTTGTAGTATGCAAGAGAAAATGCCAATTGTGATTAAATAGTATCCTCAATATTTGTTTATATTTCTTAAAGAACTGCACAGTGAATCCAAAAGAAAATATCATGAAAAGAGTGAAGGATGTTGGACACATCTTTAAAGAGAAGTTTGCGAAAGCTGTGGGACAGGGATGTGTCGAAATTGGATCACAGGTAGTTTGATTGCACTTTACTAGTGTCAAAATATAGAAATATTTTTGAAGGTAGCATCTATCTAGCCTGTGTATAAATACTGTAGTAGTATTCATCTAATAGAATAAAATTATGGCAGGTGGAATATCCCAGCTGCTGGTGTTTGCTGCTACTTACTAGAAACTTTAGGTGTAATCTCTTCTTCACCCTGTAACAAAACAAAAATGAATATGCTAATTATATAAATTTAAAAAATACATTATTGCTGGGCGTGGTGGTGATGCTTTAATTCCAGCACTCGGGAGGCAGAGGCAGGCAGATCTCTGTGAGTTCAAGGCCAGCCTGGTCTACATAGTGAGTTCCAGGACAGCTGGGGCTACAGGGAGACCCTGCCTCAAAAGACCAAAAAAAAAAGAATCTCTGAATATATGAATGAGATTGTACCATACTAACATTTGTCAGTGTTATTATTGAGTAATATTATTTCATAACATAAACCAATATATTGGATAAGACTATGGGCTTGAGTTTGTATATGGCTGTACTGTTTATCAGCTGTGTGGTCTTGAACATACTAAATTCTCTGAGACTCAGGTTCTATATATGACCCGTTTCGTTATGTGACATTAGGGTAATATGCGAAAATAAGTTTAAATATTGTAATCAATCAAACACGTCTATTTCAGTAGGATGAGGTTATATTTTGATGCCACCTATGTTTAAACAATTACATTTAAAATTCTTCTAGTATACATAACACATTCTTAAAGATATATTTATTTGCCTGGTGTGGTGGCTCATGCCTTTAGTCCAAGCACCTGGGAGACAGAGGCAGGTGTATCTCTGAAATCAAGGCCAGCCTGATGTCCATAGGAAGTTCCAGACTAGCTGGGGCTACAGGTAAACCTTGTCTGAAAAAGATACACACAAAAAATTTATTTATGTGTATGTATGTGTGCCTGTGTATTTATGTGCACCACATGTGTGCAGATGCCTGCAGAGGCCAGAGGGTGTTGGATCTCCTGAACCTGGAGTTACAGGCAGTTGTGAACCACCTGATGTGAGTGCTGGGACCCAAACCCAGGTCGTATGCAAGTTCTGCACACGCTCTTAACCACTGAGCCGAGCACTGATAGTCTTAATTTGGAATAAAGGAATACTGCTTATTTATGTATATGTATATGTAATTCAGAGATCTGTTTTTGTTAATGGGTGGGAACTAATATGGTTAAAACATTTGCTGATGAGATCAGTTTTATCTGATGGCAGGGGTGCTATACTAGTTTTTCAGACAGAAACTATTCTCTTCGTCCTAGATAGGCATTTTGAAAAAAAGGTTCTGCATCCCCAGAAGGATTATACTAGATAGGCAGAGTGCTCAAAATAGCATTGGGCATGTAAGCTTTCCTTAGAATAAGTGATGTAGGCTGAAGTGGTGTAAGGAAAATCATACTAGACCTGTCATTCTTACTGATTTATTGGGAATGCTAACCATCAGTTTATAGTTAAGCCTTGTACTTTACCAAATTAGGTTTTGTGATCTCTTGCAAACCATGCTCCTAAGAAGAGTGCTTCAAGAAAGATTTTTAACAAAAATAGTAAGTTTTTGATAGTCTAAAATAATGAGATTTTTTTCCCTTTTTTTATAGCGATATAAACTTGGAGTACGATTATACTACCGAGTGATGGAATCCATGCTTAAATCAGTAAGTTAAAGAAAATAAAAAGAAAAAAAGTTCAATGCTGACACAAACAAGGTTTCAATTAAACTTTAAAAAATATCTGTTTTAGGAAGAAGAACGATTATCCATTCAAAATTTTAGGTACGTATTTTTTAGTTTTAATAAAGTAATTTTTATCAAAGCAAATATTTAAAACTCATTCATTCTTTTTTTCCTCTTTAGCAAACTCCTGAATGACAACGTCTTTCATATGTCTTTATTGGCATGTGCTCTTGAAGTTGTAATGGCCACATATAGCAGTAAGTTAAATTTTAATAAACAAACATTTTGGTTTAATTCAAAGTAAATAAAACCTTAAGTTGTTATTTGTGATTTTTTTTTTCTGAGTAAATGTATGGTAAGGGGAAGACATTTTGTAGATCATTGTGTATTGAGAAATATAATTGGCTGTCATAGCTATGTAAATGGCTTAATATCTGAATCATTTCAGGTCATCTGGGGGATAAAATTTATTAGGTTTCTTCCTGAATCCAGGAAAGGTAGCTGGTAGAACCCCTCCAAAGACCTGTGGGCTTGTAAAGTGCTTAGGAGTATTGAAGATGAACTGGTACTCTTATGAAGCACTATTATATCTCTGTGCTCATAAGACCAAGAAAAGGAATCTCCCAGAAACTGGGTGCTTTCTCATTTGGTTATTGCTTTTATTACAACTATGAAAATTGAATGTTTACTGAAAAAAAAAACAGCAAAGGCCAATGACTTTTTAAAATTATAATTTTAAATATATAATTTTTTAAATAATGCTGCAAATATTAAAAAGTTTTACTTGCAGAAATAAAAGATGAACATTTATCTGAGGATAAAACTATACAGTAAAAGAAGTTAAATTAGTAATCACATACTGAAAACTAAATTCTCATAAATAACCCCAAACTGCACTTTTTTTTTTTGGTCTTTTTGAGACAGAGTCTCTCTCTGTAGCCCTAGCTGTCCTGGAACTCACTATATAGACCAGGGTGGCCTTGAATTCACAGAGATCGGCCTGCCTCTGCCTCTCAAGTGCTGGCCACCATGCCCGGCCAAACTGCACATTTTTAAGTGATACCATTTTTTAACAAAATTAGCAAAATCTGTTTTTCTTTTTGCAGTACTGAAGAGTGAACTCAGGGCCTTACATGTAACACCACATCCCAGCTCTCTTTTGTACTTATTATTTTTAAGATACGGTCTCAGTAAATTGCCCAGGTTGTCCTTGAGCTTGCTCTGTAGCCCAGGCAGGTCTTGAACTTGTAATTCTCTCACCTTGCCTTAGTATCTGGCATTTTAGGACTGCAGCAACAGGTCTGGCTAAATTAGCAAAATCTTAAAAGCATCGTTGGCCTTCCCAAACAAGCTTTAATGATAGTTAAAATAGATACAAGAATGAGTTTCTCCTGTTATCAAACCTTCTTTGGATATTAGTGCAGGATATTTAAACCTGTGCAGATTTGATGGAAACTCTGAGTCCTGTCTCTAAGATAAACGTGTACTCATACACTTAAAATTTAAAAGTCTATTTCTTGAAAGCCTGTGGAACTTAGAATAAAAAAGTTTGCTCTAAAAATTGTTCAGCCCCCCCCCCCTTTTTTTTTTAAAGTTTTACTTTTAGGGTCTTCTGAATGAAAATCTCCAGTACAGGTCTTAACATTTCCTATGAACACTTTTTTTCCTCTTATTTGTAGGAAGTACATCTCAGAATCTTGATTCTGGAACAGATTTGTCCTTCCCATGGATTCTGAATATACTTAATTTAAAAGCCTTTGATTTTTACAAAGTGATCGAAAGTTTTATCAAAGCAGAAGCCAACTTGACAAGAGAAATGATAAAACACTTAGAACGATGTGAACATCGAATCATGGAATCCTTTGCATGGCTTTCAGTAAGTAACTAGCTAAAATAATTAAAGGTATTGATATGTACATGGCCAATACATTCTCTGTTAATGGGAAGTTATTTCTTAACCTCTACCATAAGAGCAAACATGCAGTTTAATGAATAGTGCTATTTCAGTGTCTAGCATGAGAATCAAGTGTAATAAACAATGAACTTCTTGTGTATATTTGAAATGTGTGTGAGTATTTGTATGTGTGCATATTCATGTGTGTGAATGTGGGCACGGGTATTGGTTCCTGCCTTTCATGCTGTTTGCTTTTCTGCTGTGTACACCAGGCTAGCTAGCTGTCGAGCTTCTGGGAATTCTGCTTTCTCCACCTTCCATCTCTGTAGAAATACTGGGATTACACGTGGGCTACCACATGTGGCTTTGTTCTGTGGAATTGAATTAGGATCCTCACACTTGCACAGCAAGCACTTTTACCCACGGAGCCATCTCCCCACCCAGGATAGACTTCTATTTGTTTAGAAACAACTTTTCACAAAACATGGCACTTTAAAGTAGAAATCTTTAAAGTATTTAGAAATGTTATTATTGATAATGTTAATGTTCACTCTTTAAGTTCAGCAAAATTAAAAATTGGAGATCATGCTAGTTACATGATTTCAAAGTAAATTTCCCTATTTGATTTAGTAGAATTCACTTTGTTCCATTAGTAAAGATAATACAAAATCTAAATTACTGTTTAATGTTAGGTATTTTTTTATAGTATTATAGGAGTGGAAACTATTCTGTAGTTACTCTATTTATAGCATAAAAGCTATTGAAAAGGCTTTTGTTTTAGGGCTGGAGAGTTGGCTCAGCAGTTAAAAGCACTGACTGCTCTTGCAGAGGACCTGGGTTTGATTTCTAGCATTCACATGGTGGCTAACAACTGTCCTAACTCCAGTTCTAGGGGATCCAACACCCTCTTCTGTTCTCTATGGGCAGTGCATGACATGGGTGCACTTACACACATGTAAGCAATACACTCAAACACATAAAAATAATTAAAAAGGCTTTTGTTTTATTAAAGGCAGCATTTTCTATGTGGTAGTTATAATTTAAAGTTCTGTTGCACTTTTAAAATCTACTTTATTAGGTAATACTTGTTGATTCATCAGATACATAGAGTTTGGAATAATAATTATAACTATGCTGCATGGTAAGCATACTAAATTTGAGCCCCAGTATGACATCAAAAGATTGTTAAGTTTTGGGTCATTTCAGGTTTTGGATTTTCAGATCAGGGATGCTTGGCCAGTAAAGTTCATGCAAGTATTTCAAAATTTGAAAAAAAAAACACAACAATTTTGAAATGCTTTTGGTTCTACACATTTCAGATAAAATAACCTGTATGTGTCTTTAGTTTATGCCAATTTATGGGAAAAGAAATAGAAAATGAAACTTTATAGTTCCATTAGAATCTTAATCTTCACCTAAAACCTTAATTTTAACTTTATGATGATTTTAAAATATATAGGCAGTTAGGGTAAAAAGACTTCAAAGAAATGTAGCCAGTTCCTTGGGCCTGTTAGCAACATACGCTGTTCTAAAGGCCAAAAATGTCAAAAGTATTTGGGAGCTTGTATCTAATCCTTAAAAGATTTTAGGGTTACCTTT